GGGTGGCGCTTTCATCGAGAACGGTGGGGAAATAGTCTAGGTGCGGGGCAAAAGTTGTCCGGAAAGTGTAACTAACCGGCAAGGAGTACATGCTGCTGTACACTTCCGGGTGACGGTACAGATCGTGCACACACAATGACGCAACAGCGGAGGAAGCCATGCTTACCACCTCACAAGACTGCCTCTCTTTGCCCGAGAGCAAAAACACTCGTCACGAAAATGAAACCAACTACTCGCGCACAACAACTGCTTCAGCAACAACAACAACAACAACTGCTCCAACATCACCACCACCACCAACAACACCAACACCAACACCAACACCAACACCAACACCAACACCAACACCAACACCAACAACAACACCAACACCAACAACAACAACAACAACAACAACAACAACAACAACAACAACAACAACAACAACAACAACAACAACAACAGATAGAAGAGAGGCTCGAGCTCTCAAGCTCGCCTGGCAGACGTCCCCTTGCCGAGCTCGTCGACGAGCGCCAGGGACCGGTCGGACGAGTCCCTCAGCATCACCCGGACGTCGTCCATCTCCAGCGCGAAGGCACTCTTGTCTTCCGCCGGGATGTCGTAGCTCGCCGTCCGCAGGAAGAAGCAGTCGAAGCTGCCGGCGGCAAAGGGGATGGGGCTGTTGGTGGCATTGACTTCATTCCCGATGGGTACTGTAAATAGCTTGCGTGTTTCATGCCTCCCGTCATCGTGTGTGTGTGTTTGGCGACACAACTTTGGGGGGTCCGGGAAATCAGTACCCCCCCCTTCCCCGACCCCCTTGTGTTGTGTTCTCGCGAGAAAGCGTGGGCAATGGTCTACAGCTAAGGCATGCAAAAACATGACTACACCCCACCCCCACCCTCCTCTCCCCGGCGCCACTGGGTTGGGACTACAAGGTGTGAACCCCCAAGTGCACAGCTGAGCGGCGGCTAGCCTTTTCCCCACAGATGCGTGAGATAAGAACACGTTTGTTTCCGGTTTTCGACTCTTCGGGGTATTAAGTATCAAGGACCGCCCCATTGTACCGCATTTCCTCACCAAGAGCCTTAATTCTCGTTCCCATTCTCCTCTTTTCTTCATTACTCGGTCTATATTTCAACCCAAAACGTGGCGTGGATTGGCCTGTCCCCTGCTCAAGAGGGCGTGCGCGAGAAAAAAGCTTACAGGGGTCCGAATACTACCGAAAATGACGGTAGGCCTAGAAAGACGGCGGCCATTCGAGAACTCGAGTTAACATACACACACACACACCGGACCACGACTTAAAAAAAACTCCAACACGCCATCACACGGGGCATCGAGCACTACTGCTGTGAATGGTCTGGGAGATCACCGCCATGCATGCCGCGGTGTGTCGAGTACCCTGCTACACAATTACTCGGAACTACCGTCAAGACACCACCGCAAATGCATGGCGATGAGTACCCCCCCCCCCCCTCACCCTTCATGCGACTCGCCAAATACCTCACGGCGCTTCGCGCTTGGTGATGTGAGAGCCTGGTCCGGTGAGAACCCGGCGTGCTCCGTCTGGGCTTTGTAGGGATGCGAGGTCAATCGTCAAACGATTACGGCATGCACGACTATGAGTACACCCCCCCCCCCAGTCACACCCAATCTCACCGTGGGACGACGGCGGAGGTGCACGGCGCGAACAGGCCGGCGTTGGACAGCAGGGAGCACGCTAGCACGGCCCTCATGAGGGTGCTCTTGCCGCTCATGTTGGGAGCGGTGAGGAGGAAGAGGCCTCCGAAGTCGAACGAGTTTGGCACGGCCTCTTGGCGAGGCAGCCAGTACGGCACCAGGTTTTCCACCTTGTGTACGGCGACGAGGCCGGTGTTTGGTTGGTGTCGGCGGACGATTGGGATGGTTTGAACATGTACATACAGTCACAGAAATATGGATTATTATCAGGGGACGGGGGGGGGGGGGGGGACCGGGACCAAGCCCGGGTTTGGGTGGAGGCCGGGAACATTGGGAAGGTTGGAAAATGTT